TATTGATCTCGCTTATACTTAAGCCAGGGGTGCTTGTTGTGGTATCTTCGATGAAACTTATGCTACGGCGGTGATTCCTGTTGCAATGTAGCCAGTCAGCCGATCATTACCGTATTATTTGAAAACTGTTTCTGTATCGGTCTAAAAAGCATAACATACAGTGTGCTTCTTTCCCAAGCATTTTGGTACACATGTGCTTCCATGTACACTTTATGGGATAGTTTAGTCTGAGGAGCGCCAAACATGGTTTAAAGTTACGATGGATAAGTTTCCTTTCTTCTTTCAAATTGTAGATAATCGCGTAACATTACTCAGTAAGGAAACAGGAGACTGCAATATGTAGTGAAAGCATTTCTGTAGCTTGAGAACATCAAGCACTCATGAATGACGGTATCGAGATAGAGATCAGCATCACTCCTAAGTGCATCTGTTGTGAATGTGCGATGTCTGAGCACCTCCATGGTTTCCCTTTCCTTGTACAGGTAATCGAATTGTACATTATAAATAAACCCGGATAGTTAAATACATGCACTGTAAAGCGTCGACGTGAACTAGTCAGTAGTACGTGGACTCAACCGAGATTTCACGGGTTCTAACCTCGGTCCGGTCACTTGCCTTTCTTCCTTTCGAAGTTCGTGAGTTTCTATAGGAAAGAAACAAGAAGCTATAGATAATGCATGCCATACAGGCGTATGTTTTGCCTTTAAAGTGTAGTTCTCTTGGTCAAATATAAAAAAAGTTCATTGCCGCACGATAAAGTTAATAAAAGGTATGACTTCACAAGTGGCCCTTAATTGTGATAGTGTAAGGGAGTCTGACAATCAACGATTACAAAATTTACTTTTTTCCCTTTAACTGACGTTGTATAGGGTAAAATTTACAAAAATAGTCCCTTACTGTTCGCGTTCAGAGGTAACGTGCACATTTTTTATCTCAGAATGAAGGATGAATGATCAGAAGTTGGTCATGATTAAAATTCATTAAACTTTGATCTATTTTTGCTGTTTTAATTAGTATTTTCCCCTCTTTTGGCTT